GGGCCCCGCGCCCCCCGGAGCGCCGCCTGCGCCCTGCCCGCCGCAGGGCAGCCCGCAAGACCAGCACCACTTCCTCCGGTCCAGCGTGCGGCCGCAGAGCAAAAGGCCCCGGAAGGACGCGGCGGGCTGCGGCGCCAGTGTCTCTGGGCCCCGTGGGAGAGGTAGGCGGGCGTGGGCCGCGGTGCGGGAGGACCTGGGCTAGTGGGACACAGGTTAGAGAGGGAACTCCTTGTCTATTTTCTGGACATCAGGTGGGAGTGCAACAAAGATCTGGCTTTTCAGACTCCCTTGGATGGCTGATAAGGATTGGCCTCCATTCAGGTGCTCTGGACTTGAAGGGGCCTGAAGGTTCTGATGGCCCATAGGGTTTGCACTGAGGCCAGCTTGACGCCACTGGAAGGATCCTCCACTGCCCTAGGGTCAGGGTCAGTGTCAGGGTCAGGGTTAGGGTTAGAGACTGACCTCAAGAGTTAGCTCTTGTGTTTGTCCTTGTGTTGCCAGGGGTTGAGAATATTAATGCTTTGCTAGGGCCCCACTAAGTAATACTGCAAATGTTATTTTTGTCCTCCATGTATCCATACTTCTTGGGTGTCTGCTTTTATCTGTATTTTAGCTTTGTGTTTTTTCTTAAAATTTCCAGGCGAATTGCTTTTATGTTTTGTTTCAGAACAAGTTTGTTGCATTCTTTATAAGTAGCAAATGTGAGTTTCCAGTGGGGGGAAAAAGACTTTCACTTAGTTCCTTGGGGAAGATTAATTTTAGTTTATTAAATAGACTGGTAGTCTTAAAAAGAAAATATTTCAAGAGCTAACAGGTTACTTCTTTGTTAGATCTGTCCCAAATGTGTTCCATGAAATTCACTCATTCAGTACCGAAGAGCACGGGCTTTGGGATTCATGACCTTACTAATTGATAAAGAAATTTGATGTCAGCATATACTAATTTTAAGGTGTAAGTATAAGATAACATTGTATGTTTCAGAAATTAAAACTTGCCTCAGACAAGTTTATTTTGGTATGAGAACTGCTGGTTTGTTAGGAAAACTTTAGTTTGCTTTACTGGCACTGTTTGTTTTGTAAAAAGCAGCTTCCAGTTGCTGCTTATAAGCTCACCTCCATTCCTCTGGTCTGAACCTAGCTCATGTAAGCTCCTTGGGAGCCTTTGTGGTAGTGATAGTTTCAGAAGTTCTGGACCTGGAGCCCCTCTGGCGTCTGTAGTCCCCATCTCCTTGGCCCTCAGATCTTTTTTTACATATTTATTTATTTATTTATTTTTTAGTTTTTGGCGGACACAACATCTTTGTATGTGGTGCTGAGGGTCAAACCCGGGCCGCTCACATGCCAGGCGAGCGCGCGACCGCTTGAGCCACATCCCCAGCCCGACCCTTAGATCTTGCTCCCCTCATTTAACCTCTCAGATTTGCCTTTCCATCAGAGAAGTGTCTGTGCTTTGAGAGAACGAATAGTAGTGATGGCTTGCCCTCTGGAAGTGGCTGCTAGCATGAAACGTAGGGCATGAGAGCACTGACTTCCTGGCTTCCCACACATGAGGTTATAGGGCTCTGAGACCTCCAGTCCAGATGGAGTTGTCCAGGTAGCAGAGTGATGAAAGGAGGTTTGCTTTTGTGTTTGCAGCTGAGTGGCTTGCCCAGATTGGTGCTTCTGTTTCTGATTCTTGTCCCAGTGTGGGACTTAAAGCTGAGAATAACTTTTCATTCTGTTTTTAAAGTTGTAGAATGCAAAATAAAGCCCTGGTATAACAGTGCCCTCAGGAGAGGGAAGTTTGTCTGCTTCACCTTCAGAGCTGCTCATCCAGCTTCCTGCCTGGGCTGCTGAGGCCTCTTCTGGGCTGCCAGCATCTCACAGTCCCCAGGGTCATTTGGATGTACTTCACCACACCCTGAATCTTCCCCATTGCCTTCATCAGCTGTGCAAGAAGTCAGGTGTGACAGTTTTTTTCTCCAAATAATAATAGACTCTTCCATTGACTTCCATGAAAAATTTTTTTCTAGTATGATTCCAGATTCATTTTGAATTGATAGACATTGTAGCTAACACTTAGTACCTGTGTGTAGAGCATCTGGCATTCCTAACTTACTTTTGGTTGAGTATAGAAACTGAAGTTTGTTGTTGAAATCTGTGTTCAACCTGTTTAGTAAACTGCAAACCAGAAATGGGTGGATTTGCTTAACTTCTCTAGCTCTGCCACACTGCCAGAATGACCAGAGAATGTATTTGAGATTAAAATCCAGAGTTTGAGAGACTGTCTATAGAACCCAAGTTCAGAGACATCATCCGCAATGCCTTTCCCCTGTTGGCCAGTTCATGATCTGGCTGACCCTGTGCAAACTAGCCCATCTCTCAGAACCTCAATTCCTTTGTCTATAAGTGGGGAAATTAAGTGTCTCTATACCCCATGGACTGCTTCCAGTTTCTAAGTGGTTTCAAAAGATGTCTTTTGAAGTGTCTCACCTGTGGTAATCAGCTTTAGAGACACTCACACCATGCTGAAAAGAGGTTTGAACCAGCAGTTGGGACCGGGCTTCCATCCTGGAGTTGCTACATGGCTGCTGATTGAAACCTCTTTCCAGTATGGTACGAGTCTTCTAAGACTCTCTGCTTGCATGGCTATGGGGAAGCTGTTCACTATGCCTGAAGGCCAGGTTCCTTAATGTTTAGAGAGGAAGGAGACAACTGTGCAACAACATCTTGGATTCCATGTGTTCTTAAGAGAGTATTTCAGGAGATTAATTTGCTGAAATCAGCATCCATCTGTGTCTGGTGGGCCGTTGCCTAGCCTGAACCCCCAGGGGAATGCTACCCTTCTCTGTGCAGATAGGTGGCCGTGTGTGGAAGGTGCAGACTCTTCTTGGCTCTGCTCTGGTCACTCTCCTTAGCTTTTCATTAGGACCTGTGCCCTGTCCGGGCTGAGGCATAGTAGTGCTGGCTGAGAAGTCTTGGCTCTGTGCTCTCAGGAAGAAAGAGACTTCAGATTATCACTTAGATGCAGTGAGGACTGCCTGGAACCTGCTAGGCCATGCTTGGGCAGTTACATTGAGCTGTGTTGAATGCTTCAGACCTATGTAGGAGAACAAAAGAAAAAAAAGGAGGACTTGTCTTGTCCCATTCACAGCCAACCCTCTCCTACCTGTGTGACATTAAGGACAGTAGTGCATGTGGTCCAACTCTGTGACCAGACCCACCTGTGCTCGGTGGGTCATGAGAACTGAGGCCCAGGCCACTTTTAGAGACTGGTGCTGACAAAGGAAAATGTCACACAGAGATTCTCATCAGAGATCATCTTTAGAGCTTGGAGGATGTCCCAGAGGCTGGTGACCCTAGACTGAGCTTTTCAGGCACAACTGAAGCACATGAATGACATATGCAAAGACTGGTGCTATGAGGAGCATTGGGAGGGTTGTGTCTGTTGGTCAAGCTTCTGTCACGTGGAGTCAGGCGGCAACCTTATGTGTGGATGACTACTGGACTGCACCAGTAGAAGGCATTCAAATTTACCATCAAGGTGACACTCACTGGGAATTGGCTTGCTTGAACCATTTCCTGTGTGACTTGGTAGAGATGATCTCCCCTTAGCCACATCAGGGCCCCTGAAAGTAAAGGTGCTTGAACCAGCGCCTGACGAGAATGTCCTATGCTGGGAAAGGCACTGAACTCCAGGGAGACCACTTTGGACCTTCTGCCTCAACCGGGTGTGTTGTAATCCGAGGTAGCCATGGTGGCCTTAGTGGTTTGATGTCAGGATTGGTCTCAGACTTGGTTTTTGCTGCTTGATGACCTTGAGACTGATGTTTTGGTGGCCTCAGTCTCCCTGTTTCTGAAATGGGGACTGTGACTGCACACTGTGGAAATGAGGTGAAGCTGTGCTTTTGCATATCTCGAGGGTGCTGTGAAAATACACATTGTGTTGTTCCCATGTTTGTAGCTCTTTGAAGGGTCCTTGCCTTATCAATCTGCAGACAAAGGCCATGGGACAATTCCCTGTGCTGGAGTTGGGAGCAGATCAGCCTGAAGACATTCTTCCATTAGATGATCCTGAAAATGCCTTTCTGAGAGAACGGACCAAGTGAACCAGAGTCTTGTGGGCCACCAGGACAGTCATTGTGTTCCTCTGCTGCTCTGGATTGTAGTTTCCAGTTTAATATAGATTGCAATGACGTCCTCTGTATCTTACCTAAGTTATAAGATTTATTTTTATTTTTTTAAGCAGTAGAAAACTTCCAAAGTTCTAAGTCCTGCCATTCATTAGCCAGTGGCTTTGGTTGAGTCACTTAATTTCTTGATTTTCTCATCTTTCAAAAGTGAGAGGGGACCTCAAGGTCAAGTTTCCTCTCCTTTCAAACTGAGTCCGGTAGCCTTATGTGTGAAGAAGCAGCCCACTGACTGACGTGTGTTATGGTGGCCCCAAGAAGAACAGGGTGGTGCATGCTGTCAGTGTGGAGGTATCCAGCAGCATAGCATAGGAAGATGCCCTGGGCTCAGGCTTAGCTCTCGCTGCCTGTTGATCTTGGGTCTTTCGTGTGTTGTAGCTCAGTTTCCCTGTTTCTAAACTTCGAGGATGAGTCGGAGCTGAGCTTTTGTGTGGTTTGAAGGTGCTATTACAGCACGAGTTCTATTCTTCCCAGGCCTGTTGGGTACCAAGAAGGGTTATGGCTTCTCCATCTGTGCCTCAGCTTTTCCAATTCAGGTGAAAGAGTGATTTTTGTCTTCCTAGGGTAGTATGAGGGCGTTGGAGAAAGAGGGCATGGGTGACAGGAGAAGTGAAGGTGAAACTGTCGTGTTCCTTGTCTGGAGCTAGAGTTGGAGGCCTAGGCCACATGGCTGTGTCCCTCAAGTGCAGGTTCTAGAGAGTGGGCTATGGAAGAGATGATTGGTTGGAAGGCCAAAGAGTTGGCTGTTGGAACTGGGGAGACATAAGCTAGGGCAATAGAAGCCTGGTGGCAGTGGAGCAGCTGGAGAATTGTGGTCCTGCCTTGGGCTGAGAGGAAAGGGTACAGTCAGTGGTGGAGGGTCTCAGGACCTGATTGATGCTGATGTGGGCCCAGTGAGGAGTAGAGAAGACCTCAGGAGGCCACTGTAGCTGGGGTACCCAGAGATCCCTTATCTGTCTGCACTGGCCCAGGAGCTATCATTGAACATTTGCTGTGTGAGGCCTGGTGCCAGGCTTGGGTCTGGGGACCTAAACATCATTCTTGGTTTCAGAGAGCTTGCTGTTGGGGGAGCCTATTTCCTTCAGATTTCTTTCACTTTTTTCTTTTGAGGTGCCGGGAACTGAGCAGGAGTGCTCTACCACTGAACTATATCTGCAGCCCTTTCTTTTTCTTTCTTTGTTTTTTTTAGACAAGGTCTCACTGAGGTGCCCAGGCTCCTGAGCAGCAAACTGTTGCTGGAAACCAGGGTGGTCCCAGCACCATGGTCACCCATGGAGCATGCTCTCAGGCCCTGGCACATACTCCACCCTGGAGAAAGAGCTCTGCCCACTCAGTCTTGACTTCACCTTGTCTCCTGCATTTCTGCTGCTACCCTCCTCTTTGGCTTGCTCTTCCCCCTTTGGTTACGTCTTAAGCTTCCCCTTATGCTTCTTTCAGATCCTTCTGGGCTGAGGGCAGCTTCTTCCAGGTGGTTGCCATTGTATTCTACCAGAGTGTCTCTGGTCCTGCTTCCTATTTTTTATTCTGCTTGAGTTAAGAAAGTTGTGTTCTCTCTAGAGTTCTGGGGTGAACCAGGTACCTTGTTTTCTTCTCTGAAGTGTGATTCTGTTCTAGTTCTGTAGAGTTTTTGAGGTTTAGCATAGGGAATACTGGGTGTTAGAAATGATCGCTTGAGATGAATTGTTTTCTCATTTGAATGTTCATGTCACTTTAATTTTCTACACTGTAGAAGGATCACTCTTGGAACATCAGAAGGAAAGACCTAGCATCTCAAGTGGCCAGGGGCTTGTGGGAGAGTGGCGTGTTGCCTCAGAGCTGCTCTTACTGGTGTATCTTGGCTTCACATCCTCCAATGGGATTTGTCCTTCTCTGCTTCTGAGGTCCCTTCCAGCTCAGGTACTTCCCCTGTTTCCTTTACTTTCACTCTCCTTGTCTTGATGGCCAGCACTTACCCAGCAGTCTCATGAAGTCAAGTTGAGAGATGGGGATTATGGGATTCCAGAGGCTGAGTTTTCTGCTTTCAGGCATGTCCAGTGTCAGCATGGACTTTCAGATGTTAATCCAAGCAGCAATGTAGGGCTGGATAGCAAGCCCTGTTGTTGGGGAAAAGAGCTCAGTGAGTGTTCCTCAGAAACTGAAAATGTCTGTGAGGCCTTCTGTTGTGTGTGTGCAGAGGTGAACAGGTAGCCTTGCTCAAATGGCTGTACATGAGGATTTCAGTCTCTATGTGAACCAGATCTTCTGGTATTTCAAAGCTGTTTCAAATTCACCTGTGACTTGTCCTGAAGTCTGCAATAAAAGCAGCCCCAACCTCCTGGAAAGTACCTCAGGAGATGCCAGCTTTGTCAGGTTTGGTTTGGTAAAGAACAGGGCTCTGCGGGGACCTGGGCCCACCTGATAGTACAAGGGATGCCTTAACTTTTTTCCATGGACACACAGAGTGGAAAACAGGCTTTGAGCTTATCTTTAATCATATAACTGTGTTTACGGCGGTAAATATTGAACATTTAGTTGCAGCATTGTCCAGAGTACTTTGCATGGTGACAGAGTGGCTATGAGCCACATTTGGCCAATGACCACTGGAAATGTGGTGTGATGGTGGAGTTGAGTTTCTTTTTTTCTTTTTTCCCTGTGGTACTGACAGTAGAACCAGGAGTGCTTTACCTCTGAGCTTCATCCCCTGTTTTTTTTTTTGTTTTGTTTTGTTTTGATACAGGGTCTCACTAAGTTGCTGAGGCTGGCCTAATACTTGTGATGCTCCTGCCTCTGCCCTGAGTAGCTGGGTTAGAGGCATGCACCACCATGCCCTGCTGGGCTTTGCTTTTTAATTAATTATTGTTTAAATAGCCTCTTGTGGTGGACCGTGCACCTCTGATATACCACAACTTTCTACCTATCTGATTACGTTGTCACATAAAGTTAACTCATCAAAGCTAGTGAAACTTTTCCAATGGGAGGATCAAACATGTTCCATGTAACTGAAGAACATTTTCTCTGTAAAACATATTCTTCCTTCTGATAGCTAAGCCATGGCCTGTTTTCAAATACTGTTTGAAATATGGATGTTTCTTGATGGATAATGGATTTACATCCAATAAAATCATCCTAAGTTAAAAATATCATAGCTTAAAGCACATTTCATAAGCCTTTAGATTGTCCTGGCCCAGCAGTATAGTCCACTGTGGATAGTCTGTTTTACCTCCTGGTCATGTGGCTGACCAGGGGTGGCAGCTCTGTGCCACTGCCCAGCATCAGGGGTGTCATGCTCATGTCCCCAGCCTGGGAATTGAAAATTGGTTTCACAGTTTCACACTGTCATGAAGTTAGAATGCTTGGACCAAGCCATCTCGGGACTATCTGCAGTGACAGCCCACACTTGCTCAGGCTGGACCAGCTGCCACAGAGGGGTGAATCCACCTTCTGTGTCCTCCCAGGCAGCCTCTGCACCTGTCACTCATGTTCTGTGCAGAGATAGTCTTTGCAAGCAAGTCTTTGTAGATTTATGGGCTTGTAGTTTCTCATTTCTCTTACCTTTCATTTCTTCTGTGAAGCTGCTTCTCCACCCGCTGTGAAGGAAGACCTGGGGGCAGAGAGGAAGAGAAGTGAGTGCCTGAGTCTCTAGCCTATCTGCCTGGGCCCACCAGAAGTGGAAATGCCCCCAGTTATTTTGTTAGGAAGGCATTAAAACAATCATCTACAAATGTTTGGCTTTTGTTTTTTAAAGCACTTTTACTTCTGTGATATTATTTCCATTCTCATGAGGTTATTTCCAAGTTGGCAGGTTTTTCAGGATTTTATGGTCCCATAGTCTTATAAAAGAGAACTGGTATCATGGATGTACTGTGAATTCCCATTTCCTCCAAGAGGATACACTCAGGTGGGCAGGAGAATTGGGTCAGGTCACAAAAGCTCTTTTTCTGTGGCCTCAAAGGGTGTGGCCTCCCAGTCCCCTGAGGCTTCATTGTGCTCTTTTTGAAGAACTCTGTGGAAGTTAGGGAAGGGACTGATGCCCTATAACTTGCAAGATCGGTGGGCATTCTTCAGAGTCTAGAGATGGTGTGGTAGTGGGTCAAGGACAGAGCCTTAAGATGGCATCCCCTCAGTCATTGAATATTCCTGTTCTAAAATACTGATCACATCTGAAAGGAGGTGGTGTCACATGTTAATATCCTCTTGTACTTGAAATTTAGCCTTTTTATTGAAACAGATGGGAAGTGTATTTCAGCCCACACCTCATTTGAACAAGGGACACTGTGAAATGCATGTAACGTGTGGCTTTGTGGAGTGGACAGATCTGCCTTTTATGTGGATGGAACACCAGATGCCGTGGCATCACTGTGCTGTTTAAACAGTCCACACTAACTTTCTTTCCTCTTCATAAGACATTTTAAAGAGTCAGTCAGGTTGGGCTTCTGTCATTCCAGACATGATGTGTCCCAGGTGCCTGGGGTCACTGGCTGAGTAGTGGAGTAGGATGGCTGCAGGGTGGGCCCCAGCCCTCCCCACCTGTCTGCCTGCCTTTTCTGGCCCTCCAGTTTTCTGGAACAGGTCACTGTATGGTCCTCTTTCTCCAAGGAGCTGACAGTAACGGGTCAACCTCTGGAAACGGGTCTGGTGTTGCCCCTGCTGCCCCTGCAGGGGGCTCGCGCTCCTCTTCCCGGAACTTAGGGTCCTCAGGGGCTGAAAAGGAGGAAGGCAAGAAGGTCCGGCGACAGTGGGAGTCATGGAGCACAGAGGATAAGAACACCTTCTTCGAGGGATTGTATGAGGTGAGTGAGTTGGGGGTGGGTTCTTCTGGAATCTTGGTCCTTTTATGTGTGATGTAGAAGCTGGTACTGGGAGGGGCTGTGAGGAAGTGTTGCTTATGCTGACTCCTATCTTTCCTGGTTGTCTCTCCTTGTCTCACGGATGCATTCTAGTCTCAGGGCCTTTCCTTGGCTTCAGAGTTGGCTGACTTGTGTGTTCCCTGAGTAAGGAGGGGCCAGGGGATACCTGTAGCAGCTAAATGCCATAAGAAGTTGCACTAATCTGAAACCAAATGGGAGGTCTTGCAAACGGAGAAGCCACTGCCTAGATCTGCTGCCCAGGAAGTGGCCATGCTCCCTACTGGCTTTCTCACAGGTGTTTTTTTCCCCCCCGCTCCCAGTACTGGAGATTAAACCCAAGGTGTTCTATCATTAAGCTATATCCCAACCCTTTTTTTAAAATTTTATTTTGAGACAGGGTCTTGCTAAGTTGCCCAGGCTGGCCTTGAACTTGTGATCCTCCTGCCTCAGCCTCCTGAGTAACTGTGATTACAGGTGTGTGCCACTGTGCCCAGCTGGGTGTTTTTTTTTTTTTAATTTTGTAGTTATTATGGATATACTTTCTTATTAATATGAAATGCATTTTTCATGGTGTTTCATGTTTCCTTTGCTTGGTTAAAATTTTTTTTACTTTTAATTTTTGTTTTCTTTTTGTGATGCTGAGAATTGAACCAAGGGCCTAAGGGCCTTATGCATGTTAGGCAAGTGCTCTACCACTGAGCTACATTTGCAGTCCCGGTTTTTGGTGTTTATTTGTTTGTTTGTTTTTTGTTACCAGGGATTGAACTCAGGGGCACTCGACCCTGGGCCACCTCCCAGCCCTATTTTATATTTTATTTGGAGAGAGGGTCTCACTGAGCTGCTTAGCACCTTGCTTTTGCTGAGGCTGGCTTTGAACTCACAATCCTCCTGCCTCAGCCTCCTGAGCAGCTGGGATTATAGCCATGCACCACTGCACCTGGCGGTTTGTTTTTTTAAATGCCTATAAATATTCTACTTCAAGTGTGGCCTGAATCCACATTACCCATTGTAGTGAATAAAATTTTATTGATGCACAATTGTGTCCATTCTTTCATGCTGTGTGCAGCTGGCTTTGATATAGTGACAGAATTGAGTAGTTGCAGAAGATACCAAGTGTCCCATGAGCCTGACCAAGGCCTGTACTTCCTGACCGTTTTTGTATTGTGAATTATTGAGGGTGCTTCCAGATTCTGTTGTTATAGACAGTGCTACAGTGAGCATCTTTTTGCATGTTCCTTATTTTGGACAACAAATTTGGCATGTGGAATCAGGATCAACATTCCTCATCCTTTTAATGGCTAATTCATGGGGGTAATGGGAAAGCCTGGGATACAGAAATTCACCAAAGGCATGAGACTTTGGAATTTAAACCAGTGTTTACAGAGTGATTGGAAAAGGAGACGCTCTCGAACGTGGGCAGCAAACTTGGTTGACTGTTCCTGTGGCTGGTACTGCTCTCTCCTGGGGCTGATGGCTGCCGTGCCCATCCCAGTGGGCAGACGATGTGCAGTGTGGTGTGACTCAGCTGTCCATGGAAAGAAGGAAGTGTTGCACACAAGGCGTTTTTTTGGTAAATGTGAAATAATTTGAACAAATATAAGTGTTCTTTTTAAGAGTGTTAGAATAAAATACATTTTCGCAGAGGTGGTATCACCAAGTTAAAACTTTGTCAAACCATCAGGCATAGAACTGCAATTCCCATCATGTCAGAATGTACAACCTTGCTATGTCTCACCTGGAGCCATTACTCCTGCAGTGTGGCCTTCCCTCTTGGGGAGACTGGGCCAGAGGGCCTTATGACATGGATGTGCACAGTGGTGCTATAGAGGTGTGGTCTCCATTAGAAGTAGTGGGAGGGGCCCCTCTTTTCTGACCACCATTGCCCTTCTCAGGTGCAGTGGTCCCTTCCCTTCTGTTGGGCTGGTCTTCCCTTCTACCAGGCGGGAATGTGTCCTTAGGCCTCCTGAAACCTTTGGTTAGTGATGATAGTCACTGTTGCACCCATCAATTAGTGCTTTCTGCTCTTGGTTCCATGACCTCAAGCAGCATGTATGTTGTTTTGTGCTGACCAAAACAAGGTGGGAGTTGGGGGCGAGTGTGGGAAGCTGAAATCTTGAGCTGGGGTGGTGGTGGTCAGGCACAGGCCTCTAAGGGCTTCTGTAGTATCTCACAGTTTTGCTGCCTTCTTTGTCGTTCATTTTAATGATGGGATCAAACCTAGGGCTGCTGCTAAGGACACCTGAGCCCCACACTGCCATTTCCATGCACACACATGTTATGTTTCTGGTGGTGGAAACCCAACTCAGAACAGCACCAAAGGCAGAAGAAATTAAGCAGCTGGCTGTTCTGAGGGGACAGAAATGTGAGGGCGGACTGGATGCAGGGACTCTGCACTGTCCTTTTCCTGGGCCTCAGTCTGTTTCTTCACTCCTGCCTCAGACACCCTGCAGAGGCAAGTGCTGCTTTGCTCCTCCCACCCTAGCGAGGACAGTCCTGGGCCCTAGTCTCAGATTAGTCTCTTGAGTAGTGGCCATCCAGACTTCTTCCTGTGGCTGGGCACCTGAGGGTGGAGTTGGCAGGTGACACCATGGATCTCCTCTTTGTCATCTCTCCTAGGCGTCTGCTTCAGTGGAGGTTTTGTGCTGAGGTCTGGTTTCCCTTACCTGTCCGTCCATCCGTTTGTGTTTTCGCTATAGAGCCCTTGACTTGCTACCACACAACCAGCCTTTTGTCCTGCCAGTGCAGCAGCAGGGGCATCTGACTTTTCACCATAGGCTATAAGTTTCCATCTCTTTGGCTTACAGAGCTTTCTCCAGCTTTCAACTTTGCCAATTCGTTGTGTTGGTGACCACCACAACAAATTTATGAATGTGTGTGACTATAGCACAGTAGTGCTGGGAATGCAGAGAAAAACCTGCCCTTCAGGGGCTTACCATTGCATCAGGAAAATGCAACTTCCCATTGAGCATTTAAAGGTGTGTGCTCAAATGCCACAAGACTTAGAGGCTGCGGAGACATCTGCATCTGTGTCTATTGTGGTTCCTGCCCAAGGCAGAGGACAGGGAGGACATGGCCTCTGAGCTGAACACTAGGGAGGCCTTTTAATACTAGCTTTGCCTCTTCATATTATAGCTATAACTATAGACACATGCCAGTACCTGGCTTCATTTTTTTTTTTTAACAGTAAGCAAGCTTTCATTTTTACTGGGTTTTTAATTATTTTTACTTGGAAACGATTTCAGGCTTTAAAAAATGTTGCATAAAGAGTACAAAGAATACCCATGTGCCATTCATCCTCCTTCCTGATGTTTGCATACTCTCAGTGTGACATGAAATGAGGAAAGGGGGTGGGATAGGCTTATTCATCTGCAGTCCTCATGCTGAGTTGGCAGGTGGGTATTCCCTCAGAGTTACACTTGGCTGGAGGAACTCCTAGGTCCTCTGTAGCCTGGACACTTCCTCAGTTGGTCTTTAGGACTCCCAGCCTGTTAGTTTAAAGAATGTCCCTCAGTTTGGGTTTGTCTGTGGTTTCCTCATGAATTCTTGGTACTTTTGGCTTGGAGCTGTGCAGTGAGATGGGTCCCTGTGTTGGGATGTTATCTGCAGGTCTCTCCTTTGCCAGGTAGTTAGCTTTTCTCTGAGCCACTTCTTTCACTAGTTCCAGTGGCAGCAGTGATCACCGACCAGTGCAGTTTGTCCCATGGTGATCTCACTGAGTCCTTTTCCATTGGTTGGTGTCTGCAACTGAGAAACCCTATGCCAAGAAGAGCCCTCCCTCTCCAGCACCCACGAAGCATCAGTGACTTGCCTGTGAGAATGTGGACTCATGGGTCTAGTTCATTTTGTGGGTTGTAATTCATTCTTGGCTTTGCTGATTTTATTGCCACTGGGAGCCTCTGCAACTTGACTTTCTTGCTCCTGCCTTACCTTGTTACCTCAAGGTGTTGCCTGCTTACCTGATGCTCTCTCCACCCTGACCTGGAATCCCACTTCTCCAGGGGGCTCTGCTTCCCTTCAAGAAGTGGTATTTAGAAACCAAGACCTCTCACTAAGTGGTTTGAGGAGACTGAGGAGCATTTGGTTCTCTGGGAACAAGGGTTGTTCTCAAAATCTAGGTTGGCACAGCTTTGGCATGGAGGCCTCCAAGGAAAGGCTGTTCCCCAGGTATGCCTCAGGCATATTCTGTGTGGATTTCTTCGTGGATATCTCTATTATCATCCATTTGACATTTATTGTTTAGTTCTCGGCAGACACAACATCTTTGTTGGTATGTGGTGCTGAGGATCGAACCCGGGCCACACGCACGCCAGGCGAGCGCGCTACTGCTTGAGCCACATCCCCAGCCCCTCATCCATTTGAATGTAGAGTACACTCTGTATGATCAAAGAAGTGAGGGTTTTTTTTTTTTGTTTTTTGTTTTCTTTTTTTGTGCTGGGGATTGAATCCAGGGATGCTCTACCACTAAACTATATCCCCAGCCTTTTTTATTTTTTATTTTGAGATGGGGTCTCCCTAAATTGCTGAGGCTGGCTTTGTACTTGTGATCTTCCTGCCTCAGCCTCTCAGATTACTGGGATTACAGGTGTGTGCCACTGTACCTGGCAGAAATGAGGTGTTTCTGAAGAGTGATCCATTCTTTTATTTTAAAATGCTTGGTAGAAGTACCCCAAGATCTTCCATTTTGGTGTTCTCCTGTCTGCCAGTGGTGTTCTTGTGCAGGTGTCTCAGTCGTGGTCTCTGAAGATCTTTAGGATTAAGCTGTTTATCCCAATAATAGATTTGATATTTCTCCTGCTCTGGGGCCATGTAGTCTGTTTTGTGCTATTACAACAATAATATCTAACATTGGGCAATTTACAGGAAACAAATTTATTTTCTTGCTGTTCTGAAAGTCAGGAAGCCCAAGATCAAGTTGCCAAAGGCTCAGTGTCTGCTCTTTGCTTCCAGCATGGCTCCTAATGTTCATGTCTTCCTGAGGGGAGGTGTGCTGTGTCCTTCCTGGGCAGAAGGCAGAAGGGCAAGCTTGCTAAGTGCTTCTGGAAGCCTCTATTGTAAGGGCCTCATTGTCATTCATGAGGGGGGCCCTCATGGCCTCATCACCTCTCGTAGGCCCTGCCTCTTAATAGCATAACACTGACAGCATCAGAGTTTTGAAGGGACACATTCAGACTGTAGTGAGGCCCTTGCCCCTTTGATACCATAGGCTGTGACAGTCCCATCCCTGGATTCCTTTTGCTGCTTTATCACAGTTAGAACCAGAGACTTGAGGGAAGTGAAGTTGAAGTTTACAGGCAGACTAGAGTTGTGAAGCACAGCCTGCTTGCCCACAGCTGGTCCCCCCTCTCCCTTCTGGGCGGCGCCTACATCACAGAAGGTGGTTCTGACCATAGTGCTTTTATGGTGGACTTTGTTTTCTAGCATGGGAAGGACTTTGAAGCGATTCAGAACAACATTGCTTTGAAGTACAAGAAGAAGGGCAAGCCTGCAAGCATGGTGAAGAACAAAGAGCAAGTGCGGCACTTCTACTATCGCACCTGGCACAAGATCACCAAGTACATCGACTTTGACAATGGTGAGTGTGCGCAGGCTCAGCTTCTGGGAGGCCACTTGGCTTTTGCTGGTGGCGGCGAGGTGGTGGGGGGCCTGGTTTCTGGCAAAGACCTGCAGGGCATGCTTTCTCGTATTGCCCTCACCCAGTCACTGGCCGGGCCTAGGATGTGCCTCCCTGTGCTTGGCTGTCCACACGCCCAGTGCCTGACAGTCAGGATCCATGGCTAGGTTTCCGTGCCCTAGAAACCCTATGCTGCTTTCCTGGTTTGGGATTTGTGTTTGAAGGGCTCCGAGTGCGAGTAGATTCAGGGTCTGCCTATGAGCAAGGACAGTCAGGCTGCAGGCTTAGTGGCTGGCAGGAATCCGAGCATTCCTTTGCAGGCACTCCCCACCCATGTCAGAGCTAGTCTGTTCAGGGCCCAGCACTGGTGTGCTAGAGTGGATGAATGGAAGCTAGCTTTGTTGAGACTGTTTGAATTCAGTTTATGCAGTCTGTCTGTAGTCATGGGACAAGGTCACCTCTAGGTACAGTTCTGGCTTTTGCCTGGTGCACCCTGGGTTGCTCCTGTGGCACTTGGTCCATGACCTGTTCACTGTCTCTGTCTTCAATATTTTGCTGCTTCCTGCCCAGGTTGGGAGAAATGCCTGCCCTGTGTGTTTTCCGTCCCAGCATGCTGGGTTGTGCTCTGTATTCCTGCAGCACAGTGGGCTTGTTCTCCCTGATCCATTCTGACACCTATAACTATTTCTAATTCTTCTCTCCAGATATTACTCTTTCTGACCCAGGAGAAATGAGATAGCTGTGGCTTCATTGCTTCTTTCACCTTTGAGCGTCTTGGTGGCCTTCCGGGTCGTGTGCAAAGGCTTCTCTCACCATTCCTGTGGTGTCCTCCCAACCAGGCTACTGCCTCTTGCACGTAGTGTATTGCACTCCTCTGGCTTTAGAAGCTGATGTCTTGCTTCCTCTTTGACTGTGGAACAGAGCTCTGTGGGCACATACCCTCCTCTCTCAGGCTGTCTGTCTCCACATGTTGGTGCCCCTGGGTAGACTTGGTGGGTCTTCTGCTTCCATCATTCCCATGACCATCAGAATGAGGTTTTGTACTGAGTTCAAAACCAATTGTTCTCTTTCCATTTGTCACTGCTGCTGCCATGTGTGGGACCCCTGGCTCCTTTGTGTATCTCAGCACCAAATGGTTTGGGCCAAGGGGTCCAAGGCTGTAGTGGTTCATGTTGGTTATGGTGATCATCTTTCTTTTTTCTTGTTAGATGTCATATTCTGTGACTTGCTGAAAGTAGGTCCATTTTTGTTGGTCATGGAAAGTTCTCTTCAGGAAGGAGGACAGCAAGTCACAGAGAGGGTTGGGAAGCTCTCGTGGATGACAAGTGGAGAGACCTGGCGGATTCCATGCACAACGATTGAGTGTGTTCTGTTGTTTGTGTGAAGCCCCTCCTACATGCTGATTGGGTAGGGGGACACATGGATTCCGAGAGCCTGCCAAATACCTTATTGTCCTGTGTCACTGTCTGAAAGCACATACTTATTTTCCTTCGTCACCTTTTTCTGTCGAGCTCCCCTGTCCCCCATGTCTGGAGACATTGTGCCTCTTAGCTTTTCTGTCCCACCAGAGCTCGGGGCTCTTGCATATGGCTGCTTTGCATCTCCATGTGGGGCCCAGCTTCCCTGCCCACTCCTGTCCTCCTCTTGGCCTGCACACTGTCCCTTAGCCTTGGTGTCATCTGACTGTGTATCTTGTTGGTCCCTGGAAAGGCCCTCTTCCTGGCTCTCTGACAGGCCTCCCTGTTGGCTAGGGCTGGGGGCCACCTACCTCTGTGCTGTCGTCAGCTGCTCTACCATGTAGATGTCAGAGGTCACCAGGACACCTGTGAATTCCTGGTTTTCTGTCTTGTCACAGCATACAGAATGGTGATGTTCTTCACGTGTCGTGTTTTCAGTGGTCTTTGGAATGTGTTGAAGAAAGCCCCTCTGTAGTTTATCGTGAGTTTGTTTCACTCCTCACAGAGTAAGAACAAAAGCGGGGATGGGCAGGAAGGGTTTCTGCAGGAGCCTGGCATCTATGATGTCTGGGGAAGGTCATTCCCTGGAACGCAACTCACTCTCGTTGCTCTGAAACTGTGGCCTCCATGTGATTGGACGAGGGATGTTGTTAGTTTTCATAGTCCTGTGTTGTCCCCATGTAGACATGGGTCTCTGCAGACTGCCATGTTTGTGTATCAGGCATAGCTAACTCTCCCCTCTGGTCCCTGCAGTTGGATATACGTCTTTTACAGACCTGAGGTTCTTAATATTTATTTTTTTAGTTGTAGTTGGACACAATACCTTTATTTTAATGTGGTGCTGAGGATCGTACCTAGGTCCTCACATGTGCTAGGTGAGTGCTCTACCACTCAGCCCCAGCCCCAGCCCCCAGGCTGTTTTCTTTTTTGCCATTTTCAATAGTGTTTTTTTTTTGTTGTTGTTTGTTTGGTACCAGAGACTGAACTCAGGAGCACTCAACCACTGAGCCACTTCCCCAGGCAATTTTTTACTTTTTATTTAGAGAGAAGTTCTCACTGGATTGCTTAGCGCCTACGGTTGCTGAGGCTGGCTTTGAACTCAAAATCCTCCTGCTTCAGACTCCTGAGCCACTGGGATTACAGGCATGCCTCCTTGCGCCCAGCACCAATAGTTTAAGAAAACATTTTCTGTATTGAGATATAATTCATATACCAAGAAGTGTACCCTGTAAAAAGTGTGGCTTGGTGGTACCTGGTGCATCTGAGGTGCGCTGTACTGTACCCTCATTGAAAATACCCCTCCAGCCCAAGAGTACCCCATGCCTACCAGCAAGCACCCCTCTGTCCTGCTCTTCCTCTGTGGACTTGTTCCTTCTGGATGTTTTGTGTGAATGGACTTGTGCTATGTGTGGCCTTTGATGTCTGGTATCTTTCTCTGAACATGTGTCAGGGACTCACCCACACGCATGAAGCTGTTCGTGAAGTTCTGTGGATGGGCCACAGTTTGATTCATCAAGTGGTGGTTTTAAAATTTCCTGAGCCCCAGTTTCCTTTGTGAGTCCCACGAGATCTTGGTTTTTGTCTTAGGAAACTTCAGGAATAGTTGGCCTATGGTATTTGCAGAGTCAGATTTTTTGAGCCAATCCAAGATCCAGAATCCTTGTGATAGATTATGTTTTCAAAACAGTATTTGCTATTCACTGACATATTCCTGACACACACAAATGAAAGTCAGGTCTTTGATAAGAGATTTCTGAGGAGAGAACCAGAAAGAACAGTTGAGAGAGCACACAGGGGGGTTATGTTTGCTTCTGCTCTGTGACATGACCCACAGCTTCTAGGTTCTGTTGTGGCTTGGCTTCCATATCAGCATGAAATTCAACTTTGTGTGTTTGAGAACATTCAAGAAAGGCTTGGTCCCTGGCCTGGTGCTTAAGGCTGTTCTCGGTGTGTTATTGGTGTCCATGGTGGCTCTAAGCAGCAGCAGCAAAAGGAGCAGGCACCTTCCCATCCAGACTCTTGAAGGAGACTTCTGGAGTTTTCATAGCACTCCCTTCACGCTGGAGACTGGACTTCATGGGTGCTACGTTGAGGAGCACACACAGCCCATTTGTTTTACACAGAGCCAATGCCTGTTGGTGACAGAGGGCTGGATGTTTGTAGGGGTGTGAAGGCACAAGCAGGCAGGAAGGGGAGCTCCCTGGGGTGTGGGCTGCCGGCCTCACCCTGTGCTTGGGGGACACAGTGGACAGAGCTAGATGACGGGTGGTGGTGCTTACCCCCACCCCCATGACATCTGGCCATGCTGAACCATGCGTTTTCTCCTCTAGGGGACATTGGCTCTGCTGTTAGGAGTAACTTTTTAAACTTCACCCCTCATTTTTGTTTGATTTTTATCTTGAAAATTAAGAAAATAGCCTGGTGTACCAATGTGTTTGTTGCCTGTTTCTGGTGAGGTTAGCATCGACTTGACCAAGCAACTATGTGATCAGCACAAGAAATAGCCTGCTGGGAGATGCTCCCTGAGCATTATTGTGCACGCAGGGCATTTGGGGGGCCCCTTCCTAAGCTCTGCCCTTCTCTCATCTTCCAGTGTTCTCTCGAGGGCTGAAAAAGTCGTCCCAGGAGCTGTACGGCCTCATCTGCTATGGCGAGCTGCGCAAGAAGATCGGGGGCTGTGAGTACCCGCCTGCCCTCAGGTTGCCACGGCTTCTTGTGGAGGCCACTTTCCTTGTCACCACTCATCTTTAGTGACTTTTATCTTGACAAAATTTAACTAATAGAAAGGGACCTGCCTTAGCTGGGCATGCCAGTGGTACCAGTTGCCACACTTACTCGGGGCTTGCCATGCACATGCACGTAATGCACATGCACGTGTGTTAACACACTCGAGCACACTTGATCCTCACTCCTCTGCTTGACTTAAGATCTCAGAGCCCCAGCCTGTCTCTCCCTCACAGCTTCACCCATGGTTGCAGAGACACTTCATACCTGCCAAATAGGTGTGGTAATCTGCCTAGCCCCCTGTCCATGCTCAGACCTGTAAGGATGCTTGACACATCAGTCGGGTCTTCTGCCGAGGGATGTTGCCCTGCAGGTGACTCGAGTCTCCCTGAGCTTGGAGGCCAAGAGCACTGTGTGCTCTGTCTTTGATGATGCCGTCCAGGCATTGCCTTCCCTGTGGCCTTCCTTGCCATTTGCCTCATGGTGACCAGATTCTTTTGAGACCACTTCTTACATGGGTGCCAGTAGGCACACTCGAGCATCTGTGCCCTGCGTGCCTCAGCCCTGCCCCTGCTCCCTGTGACTCCAGAAGAAAGGGAGCAGGCCTCCCTTCCAGTAGCCCCTGCTGGGCCACACTCAGTCATCTAATGATCAGGGTGGCAGCAGGGCCAGGGAGGACAGGTATCTACTGGCTACTCTGTGTGATCACCTGGGCCACATCCTGACCATCACTGTCTTTTTGTGCCTGGTTATTGACCACCTGGTGGCTGCTAAGAGTGCCACCACCCTCAGTGCTTCCCACAGCCCCTGCTTTCTGCCCCTTTTCCTCCTCTCCTGTTCTGCCTGTGCAGAGAAGAGAGGACCTGGTTCTGTCTCTGGCCTTGTTCTCTCTAGCCTCCTGCCTGTCCAGGGTGCCATCCCTCTGCCTTCAGAGTCACAGTAACTTCAGCTTCTGCTCCTGCCTTTCAGTCTAGGGAAACACCGTCTTGACATACCTTCCCATTCCCTACTGGTAGTACTCTGCAGAGCCTTCCTGTCCCAATTTCCCGCCACAGAACCTTCTGGAATGAATTGTGTGGACCCATCCTTTCTCTCACAGCCCACACTGGTCAGGCAGACCCCTCACTGTTGTCAGAGACCTTGTGATCAGCTCTGAATCCTGGAGTCCTTTTCCTCAGAATGTTGCTTGTGCTCACCTCCTTCCTTGGTTGCGGGTCTTGGTTCTCCACTAGCCAGCTGGGCCCAACCTCATAACTTCAGGCACCTGTGTGCTGACCTGTCCATTACACTGTTCCTGCTGTGACCATCCGTCTGAGCCAACAGGGCCAGTGCTGGCACATGCACTTGTTCTTCTACCCAACCCTGCCTCGGCTTCTTGTCCTCATCTCGGGCAGTGGCACCAGCACAGGCTAGCTGTGGAGGCAAGGCCCCAGGGTGCCCTAAGCTGCCCTTTACCTTTTGCACCCTACCTTCTTCTCTGTGGAGCCAGTGGTACATGCACTTCCTGACTGGTTCCCCTATTTTGTCTTTCCTCTGAATATTTTCCTCCCTGAATCCACAGGGCTTCATTTTTATTCCTTGGCCCTCCCTCTTGGCATGGTCAGTACCTCTCATTGTAGGTGGGACAGGGCTTCTGGTCCCCTGCCTCCCTCTACTCTCTACTTCTTCAACTCTGTCCCACCCTGAAGGCCTTCTGATCATGGGTTGGGTGCCATGCATTCTTGGGCTGGTGCTATGGCCCTCCCAAGGCCATCTTGGATTCCACACGAGCCTTTGGATGTTTTCATGTGTTCATTTTTGCTTTATGCTTTGTCTAGCTTGCTTGCTTTCTTTTTTTGAGCCTGGGGGTACAGGGGATTGAACTTAGGGGTGCTATATCCCTAGTCCTTTTTATTTTTTATTTTGAAACAGGGTCTCACTAAGTTGCTTAGGGCCTTACTAGGTTGCCTGGACTGGCCTCAAACTTGTGATCCTCCTGTCTCAGCCTTCCAAGTTGCTGGGATTGCAGATGTGTGTCACATGCCTGGGTCAGATAGCTTTCTGTTGTGCCCATATTAACTCTGGTCTCCCTGATCAAGAGCCTCTGCACTTGGACCTCAGGCTCACCTTTGTGGCTGTATCCTGCTGCTCTGCTGGATGCTCCTCACCCCTGCCACTGTGGACCTCTTGACTCCATGGCTCAGCTTGTGCTGCCCTCAATTCCTGGGTATTCCTTTTGGTCCTTCCTAGCCTGGCCATATAGTACACTCAAGTACCTACTTGCTCTCATGCATCTGAAGCCAACATGGGTCTTTTAATAATGGAACTGAGTCCTTCACCCTAGCCTTTCTCCCTTCTGAATCCCCAATGCCACTTGGCTAGCTTGTTACGTGCTGGGCTCTTTGGCACCATCACTTTGTTGTATCCTTTGATATCTTTTTGGGGGGAAGTGCCCTTTTCTTTTTTTTTAATATTTAGACACAATACCATTATTTATATATTTATTTTTATGTGGTGCTGAGGATCAAGTCCAGGGCCTTGCACATGCTAGGTGAGAACTCTACCACTGAGCCACAACCCCAGCACCCTCTACCCCTTTTTGATACTGGGAAGTACCCAGGGGCACTTCTGAGCCACATCCCCCACCCCTTTTTATGTTTTATTTTGAGATAGGTCTCACTAAATTGCTCAGGACCTCAGTAAGTTGTTAAGATTGGCTTAGAACTTACGATTCTCCTGCCTCAGCCTCCCAAGCCACTGGGATTATAGGCATGTGTCACTGTGCCTGGCATTGGGAAAGTGAATTCTTGAAAGACCTCTTAGTGCCTCCGTGAGCAACTGTGCATGTGCTGCTGTCTCTGGCTACTTGGTAGATGAGTTTGAGAGAGATTGGAGATTAGAGTGAGCTTTGTTGACAAGGCTCATTCTGCCTTGAGTCTTCAGACTGATGTAAGTCCTAATACAGCCAGCTTGAGCTTTCACACGCTGACTGAGTCATGCATTCTCTTGGCTTCTCTGTGGACTGATGTTAGCCAATTAAAAAAGGACTCAAGGACATTCAGGCTTGAAGGAATTGAGTGACATGCTCCCTTGTGAAGCAAGTGACTGGCTCTGGAAGCGGTGAAGTGGGCACAGAACTGCGTGGTATACCTCATGTAGTGATGCCTGTGACTGGCTCTAGCCCTCACCATCTTGAGCAGAGCTTCTGGGTAGAGGTTCCCTTCTCGGTTCTTGTTGCAGTGTCTGGAGCCTGAGCTCTGGAGCTGAGCATCCAGAATGGACCCACTGAGGTGTGGGGTCAGTGGTGCTAGTGCCTTCTGCTGAGAAACCTTTTGTCAGGGGTTGGGCAGTCTCAGGTCACTAAGCAGTACATAGGCTTTGCTCCTTGCCCTCTTCCTTGTCATCATTCATTCCCATTCCTCCCAGGACAAAGGCAGAAGACCCCATGTGGCCCACAAGGCCCTGGTGATCTGCCTTGGCCTCCTCTTCCCAGACCTTTCTCTGTACAACCAGCCAGCCCAGAATGAATGGTGGAGCCTTCAGCCTACCCCACCCTCCCCTAACCTGTCCCTTCCTGCAGACCTCAGCTCCAGTGTTTCTGAGCTCCCAGCCAATCTGGGGGCCTCCTTGTCCTGAATGCTCTTAGAATCATCATGGCTCAGGGAGGGTGACTGGTTGGTGCTCATCTGAAGGTAGTGCTGTACCTGTTTAGTTTTCCAGGAGCCCATCTGCATTCACCCTTTCTGATCTTCTTTCTCATTTCCTGAAGACCTGTTTCCATTGGGATTCCTTCTCCTTCCACCTGAAAAACTTATTTATTTTCTGTCATGTGCTTGTGCCATCTGTGAATGCTTCTAGTTTTTGTTTACCTGCAAAACCTTCATTTCGTTCTCTTTCTTAAAGGATACCATTGTGGACACAGAATTCTAATTTGATAGTTTCTCCTTTCATCATATAAAAGGCGTCAGCCAGTGTAGTTGGCCTGCACTGTTCTGATGGGGGTCAGCAATCACTGGAGTCCATTTTCCTCTGTGTGAATTACAGTCTGTCTCTGGCTGTTTTTAGCATTTCATTTTGTCTTTGGTTTCCAGCCTGGCTATGTGCTTGTGGTCCTCCACTCTCCCAAACATGCAGAAGAATTCAAAGAGCCTAGGATTTTTACAGTGAGCACTCTAGCACCCACCACCTGGGTTCTCCCACTAGCTTCTCACATTGCTTTCCTGCACAACTGAGGACAATGATAAGGTTGGAGGAAGTGGGGCTTCTGCTTTGGCAAACACCAGGGCATTGGATTCATCATTCAGCAGGGCCTAGGGTCCTGAGGATTCCAAACTATACCCAAGGATCCTTGAATGGACTCTGCTGGGTGTGGAGCCCAGCAGGAAAAGTACACAGGGCTAGCTTGGTACCCAGAGGAAGCAGAGTTGTCAGAACCAGGCAGTCTGGGGTAGGCAGCAGTTTGGCAGTGGCAGGGAATTGGGGGCTTCTGGAAGGAGAGGTCAGCTATGAGGGAACATGGTTGTCCTTGAGGAAGAGGGTGGGCAGAGGTTGTGCCAACTGGCTGAGCTGTGCTGGTCAGCTGACTTGCTGGTTGATTTTGGGGAGGGGGCTGCAGCTGCTGCAGAGATTTCCTTCTGGAAGAACTTGAGTGTTTGGTGGCAGGATTTGGAGTCTGTGGAAGGAGTCCCATGGGAACCTGCTGTTTTGCTCTGACCCCCGTGGCCTCATTTGTCTACCTTTCCATTCAAAGGTATGGACGACAAGAATGCCACGAAGCTGAACGAGCTCATCCAGGTTGGGTAAGTACTGGGCAGGTGGACAGTGTCTGCTCCCTTTGGACGTTTGCGTCCACACACCAAAAGAGGAAGCTGAAGTAAGTGCAGTTTTCTTCCATTTCCAACAAGGATCCTTGGAATTAGAACTCAGGTTCTTTCAGATGCCTGTCCCGAGACCCCTGCCCTTTCTATTGTTGGGGTCTGGGAAGTTCCTTTTTCTTTACCTCTGTGCTCTTGTGGGTCCCTTGACCTCTAGAAAGTCTTCCTTGCCATTGTGCTTCTCCTCAGCCACTTCAGTGGCCTCTCCTTGATTATTATGCCTGTGAATGTTCCTGCCGTGGAGCCAACACTTGGTCTGGCTCTCTGCTCTTTTCCTCTCCTTGTGCTCCTGATCTCAGAGCTCAAATGATCTCAGGGCCACTGGCAGCTCAGGTAATGCCTGCTTGGCCCCGAATTAGTGCCTTTCTCTCCAGGGACACTACCTACATAGGGACTTGCTGTGTGAAGACTTCTGCATGCCCAGTTGTTGATTCTCCCTGCTGCACTGCTGTGTACCTGCCCTTCTGCACTGTGTGTAGTTAGCCTTCAAGTCCCCCTAGCTTCTGATGGTCTCCTGAGCCAGACCCCAGGCCAGGCGGGTGTCAGCACCCCAGCTTCTCTCCAGTTCCACAACTGTCCCGCTAACCCCTCTGAGGCCACCCTTAGCCCCTCCTTTAGTGTTTCAACTCTGTCCAGTCCTTTGTCACTCTTCTGGGTGAAGGGTTCCAAATCTACTCATTCGCCAAGTCTATGCCTTGGTTATAAATCTCGCCATTTGAAAACCTCCACTTCCCTGCTTTAGGTGTGTTTCCATTTGGTCCAGTTCTGGCCAAACCTCCCCTCTTGGTCCTCATAGCCACCCTAGTTCAGCCCTGGGGGTCCAGCTGATATGCCTCTGCTGGGCTACACTGCAGGGCCCAGCTTGGCCACTGCATGCTGCAGTCTGGGAGGGTTCCTCACTTAGTGTGGGGCCCTCATCTCCCACCCCAGCAGGCACTTCCTTTTTCTCTGGGCATCTGATCTGTGCTCTTACTAGCTCCTCAGAGCTGTTGTGAACTCACTGGTCTCTGTCTGCAGAACATGGCCTTCTGAATCTTTGGAGCCTTTTCTGTACCCTGGAAGCCTGACTCCTGGGTGCTTCCTTGGTGAGCACCTGGAGTCCTGTTGTGTTTTCCCCACATGGCAGAAACTAGGTTGTATTATTGTCAAAGGAAAGAGCCACAACTGGCCAGGGCTTCCAGAAAGTTAAGAATGATGGAACTTTTGGAGTAGAGATGGTTTTAATACACAGATGAATTAGAGACTACTGGGAAGGGGGGCCACCAGCTATGCTTGTGGAGGGATGAGGAGGTAGGATCACCCTCCCCAGCATCTCTATCTTGACCTCAGGGTCCTACCTTCCTTTCCCCTTAACACCTGCTCCTTCTGTCAAGCTGAGCAATGTTGTACACAGTTGAATTCCCCAAATGAAGCCAGTTTTCTAGGCCCTTTGATTCCCCTCTAGGACGTGGCAGGCCCAGTGCTAGGGGTGTACCAATGGGGTGCATTTCCTGCAGAGTGGACTCATGCTGCTGAGTGCATATACTAAGCAGCCCAAGAGAGCTTCTCTAAGCAGCAGATTCCTTCTGACCACAAAGAATCATGTTTATATGGAGCAGCTAGATCTCTAGATCAGAGACCAAGGACACCTGATGACCAAATGTAGGGAGTGAGATTTGGACCCTGGATCTTTAATAAAAGGGAAGAACAGTCACCAAGGGATCACAGTGACTGGTGGGCAGATGGCTTTTGGGCTGTGTCTAGGTGATGGTGTTGTCCCAGGGTTTCCTTGCGCTACTGACCATAGGCTATGGTTCTGGAGTGCCTGGGACCCTGGTGGAGCACTTAGGGCAAGCCATCTTCAGGCCCATCAGTAATTTGCAGGAGGATTAGCGCCGGGAAGGGCAGGGAAAGACTGGTACCTCAACTGTGTTACCCCTGGCCAGGGTAGCCCTTGGCACATGGTGTGTCCTTGAGCTTGGGTATAGCCAACATTGGATGGCAGACAGGATAGCAGCCTTGAAGTATGCTATAGTTCATGCGCCATCTTTGGTGTTGCTTATAGAGGTGCAGCCCTGGTTCCATGCGAATCAGTGGGAAGTGGCAATGGCAGTGTAGCCTTGCATTTCCCCTGGACCCTTCTAGCCACCTGTTCCTAAATTGCTGGGTTAGTGACAGCCCCAGTTGGATTTTGGTTGCTGAAGTTGGCTGTACTGCCTCCTGCCCTGGTGCAGTGACTTCAAGATAGCTCTGGAAGATAGCACATTAGCAAGTTAGAGATTGATTTTCCCTTTTTTTTCTTTCTATCTTTCTTTTCTTTTTTGGTACTGGGGATTGAACTCAGGGTGCTTAACTCCTGAGCCATATCCCAGCCCTTTTTTATTTTTAATTTTGAAATGGGGTCTTGCTAAGTTGCTGAGGCTATTGTAATCCTCATGCCTCAGCCTCCTGAGCGGCTAGGATTACAGGCATGTACCACCATGTCTGGTTCCCCTTTTCTTAATAAGGCCAGTATCTATGAGGCTCACCTGACCTTGTGGTAGCACCTGTCTGAAGCCTGAGAAGGTGACTGAGGGCTGTGGGTGCTGACAGAGAGCATGCTAATGTGAGCAAGAATCACAGCAAGTGACCAAATTGACTGCAAGGCCCAGGGAGGCATGTGAGCTGGAACTGAAGAACCCATGAGATGCCTGTCATTCTTCCTCTGGGGGCTCACCTGGTATGTTTTGTCTCAGAGGTGCTGACAGTACTATCCAGAAGGTGTTTTGACAGCTGGTAGAGAAACTTCTGTCTGCAGTGGTGGGGGCTGAGACAGGGAGACTGCACAGTGTGTTCTTCTGTCTACAGGTGTCTGAGTATAGGTCTGTGCAGGGTGGATGCTGGGTATGCAGTGGGGGCAGCACTGGCATGGCAGTGAATGCAGATCTGTCAGTGGGTATGTGCTCATGGGCGCCTGCAGCAACCTAGGCTAAACCTTACAGTGAAATGCATGGAGGCGGGACACTGAGGTAACAGAAAGGGACTCTGCCTGGATCTGCTAGGGAGATGTCATGGCACCTAGTCTGGAGGCACAGAAGTACAAAAGGGTGCAGTGGCTGGAGGAGAGGGCAGGTGCAGAACAGGCTAGAAGGGTGGCCAGGCTCTTCTCAGCATGCTGGGCATTGGTGGTCTCCCAGCGTCTCAGGAAGCTTCTGAGGAGGTGAAGCAGGAGACCTCCTCCCACTGTGCAAAACTGGTCCACTTTACCCTGTGGAAGATAGATTTGGGGTATGTCTTGGCTGGGTAAGATACAGACATCTGTTTTTTTGTTTTAATATTTAAATTTATATATTTTTCACTTGGTGGTGTACACTTCTCTAAGAATTGGGGTTTTTTTAAACGTTTTATTTTTAGAGCAGTTTTAGGTTTAACGAAAAGTTGTGTCAATTATGGAGTTCTGATATCCTCCTCTCGCCTCCCCAGGTACTACCCTCTTGCATTTGGGTAGTGCTTTCGTTAGTTGATGAACCTCCTCTGACATTGTTATCACCAGAGTCCATCGTTTACACTAGGGCTCCCTCCCTCTTGTTGACGTCTTGTCAGTTTGGACGATGCGTGTGTAATGACATGTCTATATTCTCCCTACTATGAAAATCCCTCCCTGCCCAGTCCCTGGCAATCCCTGATCTTTTGCTATCTCTGCATTCTGCTTTCCCTATTAGCACTTGGTTCAGATTGGCATTTGCTACTCGTCACTGAGTTTAATAGGTGTGTGGAGATGTGGAGTCCCCAGCAGCCAAGACCCAGCCACTGATGCTGTTCTCCATATCCTGTAGTTTTCTCTTTTCCAGAAACTCATTGAATGAAGCAATCATGTAGTCGCTAAGATGGACCGCCCCCCGCCCCCAATAGTGTGCCTGTTTGTTGTCCTATTGCCACGAAGCTGTTGTGTGATCAAGGGTTTTCATTTCACTGGTAACCCCCAGGATGAGGGGATGGCTGGCCAGTGTCTGACTTGACAAGACACTGCCAAACTGCCTCCAGCTGCTCCCACACTCCCAGCACTCAGTATGTGCAATTTGTGTGTTCTAAGCCATTCTCATTGTGGCTTTGATTTGCATTTCCCTGATGATCCATGAAGTTGATACCTTTTGTGTGCATATTTGCCTTCTGTGTGTCTTCTTTGGTGAAGTGTCTCTTCAAATTTTCTTCTTATTGAGCTTAGTGTTTATTTCTGTATATTCAGACATGCCACCTCCAGGTGCCTTCTGTGTCCTGTTTATTTTTGGTTTTTTTGGTTCAGGGGATTGAACTCAGGGGCACTCAACCACTGAGCCACATCTCCAGCCCTATTTTGTATTTTATTTAGAGACAGGGTCTCACTGAGTTGCTTAGCGCCTTGCAAGTCCTGTCTGTCATTATTGTCTTCTGTGGTCTGCTCTCCATGTGGTGTCTAAGAACCTTGCCCAGCTGTGGTCAAGATTGTTCCCTGTGGCTTCTTTTAGAGTTCTTATGGCTTTGTACTTGGATTAAGTTTTGTGGGTGATGTAAAGTATAGGTGGAGTTTCATTTTCTTGCCTGTGGGTGTTGCTTTGCTCCAGTGCCATCTCCAGTGAGCGCTTGTGCCTTGCCAGAGACCAGAGTGCACTGTCCCATGCAGCTCTGTCTCTGGCCCTTCTGTACTTTCTCATTCATTTATGTGCCCATTCTCTCCCCCAAAGACTTCTTAGTTGTTGTTTCTTTTCTTTGTGCACGCAGGTGCGCACGTGCATGAGAAAGCAAGAGCATGTGTACCAGGGATTGCACCCAGGAGCACTTAACCATGGAGCCACATCTCCAGCCCTTTTTACATTTTATTTTGAGACAAGGTCTCATTAAGTTGCTTAGGGCCCCATTAGGTTGCCCAGGCTGGCCTTTAACTTCCAACTGTCTTGCCTCTGCCTCCCAAGCTGCTGTGATTACAGGTG